AATGGCGAGTCCAGTGGTAGACTTGCGATCATCAACATCACCTCCCCAATCTGAATCACTATAACCATGAAGCAAGCTAGAGGACCCACGAGAAAGAAATAAACCATGAGAGGAAGTAGCATTGACATAACGGAGAATACGTTTGACAGCAACCCAATGAGAATCCATAGGACAATGCATAAACTGTGAAACTTTGTTAACCGCATACGCTATATCGGGTCTAGTAAACGTCAAGTATTGTAAAGCTCCAACGGTACTCCTATAGAGAGTCTGATCATGAAATGGACGTCCACCAGTTGTGGAGAGCTTGGATGAGGTTGAAGCTGGTGTGGAGACAGGACCACACGACCCCATTTTCACACGATTAAGAAGGTCGTTAACATACTTACCTTGCGACAAATGTAATCCTTCGTGCGTCCAGTTGGCTTGAATGCCCAAGAAATAAGATAATTTCCCCAAATTTCTAATAGCAAATTGAGTTTGTAGTTTGGCAATAAGAGCTGCAATATGAGCAGAATTAGAACCCATAACTAAAATGTCATCAACATATATTAAACAAAATAGCTTGCCATCGGCGTTCGGCATATAGAACAGAGAACTATCGGTTTTGGATCCCACCAAGCCTAGAGAAAGAAGTTCATCAGCTAAACGCTTATTCCACATACGTGGGGCCTGTTTGAGGTCGTAGAGAGATCGTTTAAGTAAACAAACATGATCTGGACGAGTAGGATCAATAAATCCGGGAGGTTGAGACATATATACAGTCTCATCTAAGTTTCCATGAAGAAAGGCATTAGAAATATCCAGTTGAGTAATGTGCCACTGATGAGACACTACCAAGGATAACAACAATCGTATGGTGGCCGGCTTAACAACTGGACTAAATGTGTCGGAAAAATCGATGTCCGGTCGTTGATGATATTNAGAATGGGAATAGAGGTGGTAAAGCATCCAATCTCTCGGAGGAGAAGCTCAACCCATGTCATCTTAGAGGTAGCAGCAGCTAATGCATGATATTCAGCCTTTGTGCTCGATCGCCATACAGCTTTTTGCTTTCGAGAAGCCCATAAAATCAAATTAGAGCCAAGAAAAATGGCGAAGCCAGTGGTAGACTTGCGATCATCAACATCACCTACCCAATCTGAATCACTATAACCATGAAACAAGCCAGAGAATCCATAGGACAATGCATAAACTGTGAAACTTTGTTAACCGCATACGCTATATCGGGTCTAGTAAACGTCAAGTATTGTAAAGCTCCAACGGTACTCCTATAGAGAGTCTGATCATGAAATGGACGTCCACCAGTTGTGGAGAGCTTGGATGAGGTTGAAGCTGGTGTGGAGACAGGACCACACGACCCCATTTTCACACGATTAAGAAGGTCGTTAACATACTTACCTTGCGACAAATGTAATCCTTCGTGCGTCCAGTTGGCTTGAATGCCCAAGAAATAAGATAATTTCCCCAAATTTCTAATAGCAAATTGAGTTTGTAGTTTGGCAATAAGAGCTGCAATATGAGCAGAATTAGAACCCATAACTAAAATGTCATCAACATATATTAAACAAAATAGCTTGCCATCGGCGTTCGGCATATAGAACAGAGAACTATCGGTTTTGGATCCCACCAAGCCTAGAGAAAGAAGTTCATCAGCTAAACGCTTATTCCACATACGTGGGGCCTGTTTGAGGTCGTAGAGAGATCGTTTAAGTAAACAAACATGATCTGGACGAGTAGGATCAATAAATCCGGGAGGTTGAGACATATATACAGTCTCATCTAAGTTTCCATGAAGAAAGGCATTAGAAATATCCAGTTGAGTAATGTGCCACTGATGAGACACTACCAAGGATAACAACAATCGTATGGTGGCCGGCTTAACAACTGGACTAAATGTGTCGGAAAAATCGATGTCCGGTCGTTGATGATATTCTTTAGCCACAAGCCTTGCTTTATAGCGATCCAATGAACCATCCGACTTTAACTTTGTCTTGAATACCCACTTACAACCAATGACGTTGTGAGATGGCGATGGTGGAACTAGTTCCCAAGTACCATTGTGAATAAGGGCATTATACTCCTCTGACATGGAGCGACGCCAATAAATATCCTTGATAGCCTGTGAGTAGCAAGAAGGTTCCATTATTGCTGATGTTGGTGTCAAAACAAACATGGAAAATGGCTTCTTAGGCTTTAGTAAGCCTGTTTGTGATCGTGTGACCATCTTTTGCGAAGCCGGAGCTGCTGGTTGTAGTGTAGCAGTTGAAGTGTCTCCAAGATCAAGAGAGTGCATTGTACCAGATAGAGGATTTTCTTCAACAAGAGTGGGTGACATCAAGTCTACACCATAAGATACTCTAACTTGTAAAGGTTGATCAATAGCAATTGTATGTCCATGAGTAGGATCAACAGATGATGAGGATGGGTACTTAGACAAAGATTCTGCAGGTGGAGAGGGTGAAGGCGGATTCGATGTATGCGATAGGGATGAAAGTTGTGGCAGATATGGTTGAAGACTTGAAGGGTCAGCAAGAGGCTGGAATGGCAACTTCACATTTAGAGATTCAGATTTAGCATTGGGTATAGAGAGGCACCACGACATCCTGTGAAACAAATGGAAAAATATTTTCATCAAAGATTACATGACGAGAAACGTAAAATTTTGAAGAAACTGGGTCAAAGCATTTGTACCCTTTATGTAACTTACTATAGCCCAAAAATACACATGGTTTGGATCGAGGAGACAATTTATCCTTTGTATAAGGACGAAGCCATGGGAAATAAAGGCAACCAAAAATACGCAACAGAGAGTAATCTGGATCGGTTTTAAACAACATATGAAATGGAGTTTTATTTCCTAAGCGTGGGGTTGGTAGACGATTAATAGTATACATAGCAGTATCAAATGCATTTGTCCAAAATTTGTGTGGGACATTAGCATGATGTAGCAAAGCTCGGCCAGTTTCAACAATATGCCTATGCTTTCTTTCGGCACAACCATTTTGTTCGGGGGTATACGGACATGAGGAACGTTGCACAATTCCATTATCTCTCAAATAATTTGTTAAGGCTTGATATTCCCCTCCCTAATCAGCTTGAAAACTTTTAATAGGACGACCAAAATATTTTTCAACAAGTGTGCGAAATTGCATAAAAATTGAAAGGACCTCAGATTTAAAGCGAAGAAAATAAATCCATGTATATTTGCTAAAGTGATCAAAGAAAATCACATAATATCGATAGCCGTCACTAGAAAAAACTGGAGCAGGACCCCAAACATCTGAACAAACTAAATCTAAAGGCCCGGAGGCTTGAAAACTAGACTCACAAAAAGGAACTTTATGACTCTTACTAACAGCACATGTAGAACATAAACGAGAAGATTTAAATGAAGGGACGATGATGCTAGATGATAATGTTTGACAAACTGTAGGATAGGATGTATGAGCCAAACGAGCATGCCAAACCCCAAGAGACGCAGCATAAGAAGCAGGTGCAGATGACTTCCACATAGGAAGAGAATATAATCCAGCTTTATCAGGACCTGTGTGCAGTATTGCCCTCGTCACCAAGTCCTTAATCAAAAAATGGTTAGGAAAGAATTCAATTGAAACTTGGTTAGATTTAGTAAAAGAACTGATAGATAATAAATTTTGAGTAGCAGTTGGAACATGTAAGATATCATCAAGATTGAACTTTTTGTCAGAAATAATAACAGAGCTTTTACCAACGTGAGAAATAGGAAGTTTGGAACCATTACCTAATGTGACTTCTTCAGGACCTTGGTATTCGGAATGAATACCCAAGTTATCAAGGTCAGCTGTAAGATGGTGTGTGGTGCCACTATCCATTACCCAGTCTTGGGCAGAAGGGGTTCTTGCTAAATTGGAAACAGGTGGTCTCGAAGTTTTGTTGCCATTGCTAATTTTAGGAGATGGACATGCGCGTGCAATATGACCTTTGCCTTCACAGTTATGGCAAATAATTCCAGACATGTCCGGGGCTTGGGATTGAGTAGTATTGGTCTGTTGAGTAGAATTTTGAGACCCACGATGTTGAGAAAATTGATTAAAGCCTTGATTGGAGGAGCGTCCACGACCTCGACCCCCTCAGCCTCTACCACGTCCACGAGTAGCAGAAAAGGAACTATGAGTAAATTGTGCTGTAGGTGCAGTGACAGTAATGGCTTCATCCCTTTTTAACTGCCGTTCTTCATTCTATAACAATCCATATAATGCATCAAAAGTAATATCCTCTTGACGCGATTCAAGCGACCTAGTAAAAGGACGATAAACAGGTCCTAGTCCAGCAAGAACAAATTCCACCAGATCATCATTAGGAACTGGATGTTGCAATGCAGCCAACTTATCTGTTATTGCCTTTGCCTTTTGCACATATGACTCAATACTGGCATTATCACGACGCAAAGTGTGCAACTGCGTCTTAAGGTCACGAATCTGTGGCTTTGAGCCGGAAGCATATGCAGCAACAAGCTTATTCCAAGCGTCACGAGCAGTTGCTGCTCCAACCAACTGAGGCAAGATACTTTCTGAAACAGAAGCAACAATCCAACTTAAAACAAGTTGATCTTCACGTAACCAAACCGTATAGGCCGGGTTGGGTTTGGTATTAGTATCATCTAGGAATTGTGTTGGCATCTGTTTACTATCATCAATGTGATGGTTCAAACCACATGCATATACCATAGGCATAAACTGTGTCTTCCACAGAAGAAAGTTTGAAGATGTGAGTTTCACAGGCAATTGATGTGCGAGATTTGGAGAAGGAGAGACAACAGATAGGCTTGAAGCCATTGAAGAGCTGTTGTTTTCACCCATGGAAGCGTAGAAAAAAATTGGGTTGGTTTAACCTCTAATGGCTCTTGATACCATTTAGAAAACGCTTCTCAACTCATATTCTCGTGTGCAAATACATTAATATATACATGAGTTTCTTATTCTATCATTAGAATAAGACTCTAATGATAGAATACTTACAACATCTTCAGGCCAATCCTAATATTTATCCTTACACCTCTCAAAACAATCCGACCCGAATTACGCCGGGGCTCCGTGTCAGGATGCATGGAACACCAAGACCCCCGAGAAGCCCATTGATCATCCTCGCCGGACTCGGAACCGCAATGCCGCCTTCTCCTTAAAACAAGTCCGGCAAGCCACGCAGAAGTTCTGCAAGTCGGATCTAAACCACCCAACTCCCCAACCCGACAGGTTATTGAGCTCCGGTAAATCCCATGGGGTCTCTTCTTTCTCGGGCTCTTCGAAAGCCAAACCCAAGAAGCCTACTCACCCAGTAAAGCTACCAGAAAAGTAAGTGTTTCAAATGAAAAAATTGTATATAGAATAAATAGTTTCTGAAATAATACTAGTTCAAATTTATACCATTGTGTATTTAGAAATAATCTAATTTTAAACTTGTTATTAGAACTCCAAAGTGCATCATATAAAATGGGATGGAGGGTCAAATTGATTTGGATGGAGGAAGTAGTTTGTTCTCCTTAATTTTGACATTAGTGTATGTGTGCAGGTACGAATTGTTAGATACGTTCTTTAGTAGCTTGGACAGTCTGCTGCAGTTTAAGAGTTCTTCCACAACATTCACAAACATTAGTTCCAAAATTGAGTGGTTAACTGATAGGTAAACAAAATGATGACAACGTACTCTGAATGCAACTTTTTCTATTGACAACTTCTCTGTCAATTGTTGTTAATTCTCTAGCTTATCATTAATTTTTTGCAGGAGATTTTCTTACGCTCATTTAGCGCAGCTGAAGTTTATTTTACCTGAGGCAATTGAGATTAAAAAAATCCTTGTGTGCGATGAACGTACGTATTGTATGAAGCCTGAACTTCATATTGCATTAAATGCTAATGCAGTTGAAATTGACGAGAAGCTGAAATCAAGTAGTAGCTCTGATCAGCAAAGGAAAGTCTTCCGGACACGGCTTTTGAACTTTTTAATATCCCATCCTCAGGTGAGAAATTTTTCTTTCAAATTATAGACTTTGCATTTAACATTTTGTTGAGACTTCAAATTTTAGGTCAATGTTAGAAATGAGGTTGGTGTTTTAGTGTTGGTTTGATCTGACTATACTTATCTGGTGTCATGTTTTTTCAGTTTTATACACATACATGTGACAAAATTGTTTAAATGCTTCGCATATTTACCTCTACCCCATGCTTTATGTTAATTTTTTTTATGGAAACCATAGCTAAAGTGAAACTAACTTAAAGAGAGCGCAGCAATGAATTTCATTTGCAGATTTTTCTACATTGATGCATTGTGTTTGACTACTGGCATCTGAAGAAAACTTTTCATGCCTTTCTACAAACTTTAGTTAAACTGAATACTACATGACAAAGCTTTTAGGGGATTAAACATATATTTTTAACTTTATTTCTGGAATAGATTCAGACATGAAGCAGTTGATAATGTTATCACCACATAAAAAGAAAAGCCTACTAATTTGACGAAGTATTAGATTTACCTTACTGTTTGCACACAGTTTTGATAAAATCACAGCTGCTTGGCTGATTGAATAACCAGCATGAAGAGTTGCTATAGTGGCTGGCATGTTGGCAATTAAGACTTACGAACATTTATTTGAACGGTTCTTCCCGATCTTCTCTTCTTCCCAAAGTCCTTTAGTAGAAATGGAAGGAGAGGTGTTAGTTATATAAATTTCCTTTTCTATAAAGCTGGTGATTTTAAGGAATACTATTTTCTGGATGCAGGGAGATGACATTCCAGAGGAAGCACTACCTGGACCATTCGGTGAGTCAAGGCACGAAGTATTGACAAATTCATCTGGATCAGCTGGCTCACAGTTGATAAGTGAAACACCAATTGGTTCAGTGCCGGAGCAGCAAGCATCTGCATCTCACCTGTCTCAATCTTTCAAAAGAAGATTTTCATGCCAAGTATCAATTGGTGAAACGGAGAATGCCAAGCAACACCCACCAGTCACGGAATGCCAAATAGCTAAAAGTTCCAATAACAAAAGAACCTCAACAGCTTCTGATAAATGCCCTTCTAAAATGCCTACAACGCAAACTAGCACAGTTAAAAACTCATCGCAAGTGGTTGCTTTCGATACTTTACTGCTGTCTCCTCTGCCTGCCACTCCAATGAAGAATATAAAGGGCGATGATGGATATGCTTTATTAACTGCTGAAGGAACTCAAGAAGGACTTACATCTACACCAGAAAAACTGATGACTTCTACCCCTATGCCTCAATCCCCCAAGAGATGTACGAGTCCTAATAGTGATTCAACTGAATCACCAAGCAAGCTAGTTAGGCGACCTCCTTGTAATAGGTCTTTGAACTTCAATACTCCTGTGAAGAGTTCAAAGGTTACTGATAAAGCGTGTGAGGGTGCAGGATTGCCAATAAATAGTGATATCATCGACATTTTTCTGAAGGATCTTCTGCAGTCGGTTAGACACAAATGAACTTTCTAAGATTAATTTCCATAATGATATTACTTTTTCTAGATTAATTTCACCTAAGTTTGTAACTTAGATGAAGTTTATTCCCTAGTTATTAAACGGAGAGGAATTGGAATATCCATATTTCTAAGTCCACTATTGAGTGCCAGTGACAAATGCTTCATTGCTCTGCAGATACTACAAAAAGAGAGGAAGAAGCTAGAGGAGCAAGATCCAGCCTTATCCCAAGCAAAATGGCGCAAGCAGATGATTTCAAGCTTGCCTAAATTTTTTGACATGATATATTTCCTATTTCAATCAGGAAGACGCATGGTGATTACAAAAGAGAAACTTATTCATAAAGTAATTTCAAGCCATCTAGAGATTGCTGATAGAAGTAAGCCTGGATACAATCATTTCGCTGCATATCTTGGAAACTGCATCTGACTTGAATCTGTATGTTTTATGTTTGCAGGAGAAGTTGAAGAGAAACTCAGCTTATTGCAAGAACTTGCTCCTGAATGGATTTACAAAAAGGTGGCAGCTAGTGGAGATCTTCTCTTATGGTAAAGCTTGTTTCTCCTTAAGAGTGCCTGCCTGATAATTTTTCTACATATTTGGTTAAAATGATAAGCAACGAGCGTTCAAGGATTAAATGCCAGTTGATACTGTTTTTGCAGTCACAACTACGAGGCTTGATGTCATTAGTTTTGTTTTCTTTTGCAGTGTTAACCAGATATCAAGTCCTAAAGAACTACGCACAAGACTAGCTGAAGCGAAATTAGAGAAACAAGAAGATGGTCGTATATAAAACTTTGTTAAATTAGATTAACAATTCAATATATTCTTCTCTAGTGCAGCATTCATGGATGCAGATTGCAGCAGTACCGTTTAGTACAGTGCAATTATTATTTAACCAAGACCTAAGTCAGCTTGCAAGTTAGGGCTAATAAGGGCTACTGTTTGAAGATTTAGATATGTTCTCCTTGTATATAGTACTGAGCTTCTCTTGGAATAAGATTTTGTTAGTCCTTGTATATGGCCCCGGGTAGGGCTGTGCGCGGATCGGATCGGATCGGATTTAGCACATTTCGGATTCGGATTTCAGATTCTAGAAAATGCAATCCGAATCCGATCCGAATTATATCGGATCGGATTTAAAATTTGGATCGGATCGGATCGTATTATTATGCCTTAAAGTTAAACTAATATGTATATTTCTTTTGTAAAAGAGGCAATACATTAAGAAAAATTCACGTTTATGCAATTATGAGAGTATTATGGTACCAATATAGTTAAATCTAGCAATTGTAAAGGTAATAACTTGGAGGTTAGATGTAAAGGTAGTACTGACTATCCGAAATTAAAGTGTAGTATTTATACATGCCCTAATAATTTTGGATTTCGGATCGGATTAAAATATACCAATCCGGAATCTGATCCGAAATTCGAGATTTTAATAAACACAATTCGAAATCCGATCCAATCTGAAATTGAATGGATCGGTTCGGATTTCGGATATCCGATCCGAATGAACAGCCCTAGCCCCGGGCACTGAGATATCATATTATATACTTGATGTTATTCATGAGCCTAGAGCCATTTGTTACCGAGCTATATATCAAAACGTTGTTATTTTCCTTGACAGTAGCTGGCAAAGAGCATGTGCAGAAGATATAGATATAATAATATCCTTTAATAAATTTTAGATGTGCTCATCTTCATTTATAATATGCAAAATAGCCTAATAGACACTTTTACTTATTCTTCTTTGACATCCTAATCCCTTACTCCACATAATTTCAATCAAGCACTTATATAAAACATTAGTTTTAAACCTGACCATTGACCAAGCTTATGTGACCTTTGTTTTATTGAGTCAAACAAAATAAGTGACTGCCCGCTCCTAAAAGCGAGTCAGTATACAAAATTTGACTAGAAAATAATAAAAGAGAAAAATGAAACACACACACACACTGCTAACCATTATTTCTCCCCTCTCTATCCCATCCGCTTCTCCTTAGCTTCAAATCCCTAAAAAAGGCCTTTGAAATTGGCACGGCTCCACACCCTCCAATATTAAATTTTGTTTCTCAAGCAGAGTTTTCTCAAACACCATTATATTATTTCTCCAATTTCAGCAATCAACTGGAGCTATGATAAAAAAAAAATAGTAGTATAACACATGACAAGACCAAACTGATAGAGCTTGCCAGAGCAGCTAGTCAAGGAACAAAGTTGTTTAATTTTTGTTTTTCTCAAATAACAGAAGAAGACGATGAAGACGTCAAAAGCTTGAAGATAACGCTCCAAGCCAAAAATTGGGTCGTCATCGACTACTTACGACGGCGAATCTTGATTTTGTTAGTTTTATAAATTTTTCCGGCTATAACTGGAGGGGTCAATAAGGATTTTGAGGTAGGAAATATTGAGTGAAACATTCTTCTTTCTTTATCAAATTTTTTGGTGCTGCTTCTTGGGTGTTTGGCTTGAAAGAAAATTTAAGGATAGATTTTCTTAAATTTGTTTGTTGTTTGGATTTTGAAAGGAGGACATGTATGTGAAGAAAGAGGAGAGATAATGGTGGTTTTGATGTGGTCGCCGATGATGGTGGCAGCAGGAACACTATGGCTGGTTGAATGGATTGTAGTAATGAAGAAAATAAGGACAAAATAATGAAGTATATTTGATTGAGTGTTTTCAAATGGAAGAGGAAGGGTGGCGGTGTGTGGTAATGGCAGTGGCGGGTGGAAGAGGCAGTAATAGAAGGGTGGAAAAGAGCAGGAAGGTTTGGGTTTTTTTGGAGAAGAAAGGGATGTGTTTGATGTTTTTATTAAAAAGTATTTTTTTGTATAAATAAATAATGACGTGGCATTAATTTATCTGAGGTAGATATGATGTGTCCTTTATCTCAGCGCGAGTGAACAACACACGGTATCGAAGGTGTTAAAAACTGATGTTTTATATGAGTTCAAGTGCCTGTTTGAAACTTGTCATAAACAAGGTACGGAATAATCAAAGTTGGTGTCTTATTTCATGAAGTGATACATATATATACATGTACATAGGATCCTAACTGTGGAAAGAAGTAAAAGAAAAATCCTAAATGTCTACTATCAAATCTAAATGTTTATTCTATTTATGTATAGTACAAGTAATCTGTCTACATTCATTCTTTATGTCTACATTCATTCTTTAACACTCTCCCTCAAGCTGGAGCATAGATATTAAGCATGCCCAACTTGTTGCAAAGATAATTAACTCGAGTTCCATTTAACGCCTTTGTGAATAAATCAGCCAATTGCTCTCCCGTCTTCACGTAACTAGTAGAAATCAAGTTTTCCTGAATCTTCTCACGAATAAAATGATAGTCAACTTCAATATGTTTTGTCTTTTCATGATACACCGGATTTGAGGCAATATGAAGAGCAGATTGATTATCACACCAAAGTTTTGCTGGTGTAGTATGCTTTATCCCAATTTTTCGTGAGAAGATGATGTATCCACATAACCTCACACGTAGTCTGTGCCATAGCTCTGTATTCGGATTCTGCACTGGATCGAGATACAACATTCTGTTTCTTACTTCTCCATGTTACTAGGTTTCCACCCACAAAGACACAATAGCCGGTAGTAGACCTTCTATCAATTTTGGATCCAGCCCAATCTGCATCTGCAAAACACACAATGTGAGAATGCCCACGACTGCTGTATAATATGCCAAGTCCAGGGGCTCCTTTTAAGTAACATAGAATCTATTCCAGTGTTGCCCAATGTTAACTGTAGGAGCGGACATAAACTGGTAAACAACACTTACAGCAAAAATAATATATGGACGAGTCACATTGAGATAGTTTAATCTCCCAACTAACCTCTTGTATCTACTTGGATCATTAAATGGATTGCCATCATCTTTCATAAGATACAAATTAGGAACCACTAGAGTACTGCAAGGTTTGGCAGCCAACTTACCAGTTTCTGCCAGTAAGTCAAGAATATACTTTCTCTGAGATAGAAAAATCCCTTTCTTGCATCTATTTACTTCTACTCCCAAGAAATATTTCAGTTGTCCCAAGTCTTTCTTATGAAACTTAGTATGTAAGAAAGACTTGAGAAAAGAGATTCTAGCATAATCACTTCCTGTAATAACAATGTCATCAACATATACAACCAGGAGAATAGATCCAGCTGTTGATTTCCTGTAGAAGACTGAATGATCACATTTGTTCTTTTTCAGCCCAAATTCTTGAACTATCTCACTAAATTTTCCAAACCAAGCTCGGGGACTCTGCTTCAAGCCATACAATGACTTCTTCAAATGACAGAACTTCCCGTACTCCCCCCGAGCAACAAAATCAGGTGGTTGCTTCATATATAGCTCTTCGTGAAGATCACCATGAAGAAAGGCATTTTTAATGTCCAATTAATGCAAAGGCTAATTCTCAGAAGCTGGTAGAGAAATGAACAAGCGGACAAAATTAAGTTTGGCAACCGGAGAGAAGGTATCAGAATAATCCACTCCATAAATCTGAGCATACCCTTTGGCCACAAGTCTGGCCTTAAGTCTTGCTACAGAACCATCTGGATTAACTTTGGCCCATTTGCATCCCACTGCTTTCTTTCCACTAGGTAAATTCACTAAATCCCAAGTATGGTTTTCCTCTAATGCATGTATTTCCTCAAGCATGGCTTCAGACCATCCAGCATGATTCAAAGCCTCTTTCATTGTTTTGGGTCTAGAAATTAAGTCTAAAGACGCAATCAAAGATCTAGACACAAGGGCTAAGTGATCATAGGAAACAAAATTAGCAATAGAATATGTAGATTTGCAAGTACGTGTACCTTTGCATAAAGCAATAGGAAGGTCAAGGTCTTCTGGGGGATCAGGCGGAAGAGGATCAGATGATGAAGGAACTGATGCAGGACCTGTATCATTTGTCTTTCGCCTCTGCGAGTAAACTTGAACAATAAGTGGTCTTTCTAACACAGTTGGAGCAGGTGTTGAAGGCACAATAGTCGATTGGTGCTCGATGGAAGAGCTAGGAGATGGAGAAACATCATCTGATTGTTCTGTCAAAGTACGGGTAACCTGATATACTAGCCACTCATCTTCCTCTCCCTAACATGTAAAGATGGGAGGTGCATAAAAGAATGATATAGTCTCTGAAAACACTAAATCAGTTGACACCAGATATTTGCCAAGTTCAGTAGAATAACACTGATACTCCTTCTGAAGGCGAGAATAACTAAGAAAAATACACTTTAATGCCTTGGGATCCAACTTGGTAACAGATAACATCTCGAACATAACATGTGCTTCCAAACACCTTAGGTTTCATGGGAAAAATAACACAGTAAGGCATATTGCCACCAAGCACAGTAGATGGCATGCGATTAACCAAAAAGCAAGTCGTGGAAACCGCATTAGCCCAGAACTGTTTAGGAACCTTCATTTGGAACAAAAGTACCTGAGCTGTCTCAAGTAGACACCTATTCTTTTTCTCATCAACTCCATTTTGAGAGGGTGTATCAACATATGAAGACTGATGTAGCACACCATATTGTCTCATGTAGGACTAAAATAACTCTGACATGTATTCTTTAGCATTATCACTTCTTAGAGTACACACTGAAGCATTGAATTGAGTTTTGACTTCAGCACAGAAGGCAGAAAAGTGAGTAAACACTTCAGAGAGACTCTTCATAAAGTAAACCCAAGTCATCCGGAAAAAATTATCTACAAAAGTGACAAAATACTTATGCCCAGTTTTAGAAACAACAGGACATGGTCCCCAAACATCAAAATGAACTAGCTTAAAAGTTGACCCAGCTTGCTTATTAACCCTTGGACTCAACGAGATGCGATGATGTTTTACAAATCGACATGACTTACAGTCCAATGAAGAAATATTCTGAAACTGGGGACAGAGTTTCTTCAACAAAAGTAGAAAGGGATGCCCCAATCGACTATATGCTTCAAAAGGAGACACGATACTGGAGCATGCAATAGAATGTGGCTCTCATTCATCAAGGATAT